AAAAAAAATTACTGCTAAAATGACTCATATTTCTTACAAGAACCATCTAATGATTCACATGTTCAAAAGACCAATATAAATAATCCTTGTGTATTCAAAATGTGAGATAGGCAACACTTTAAGATTAGATACCAAGTGCACTGTACAAGAAAAGGTGACTTTTGTCCATGCCAGGAAGAATTCAAAGTTTAAGCAACAGTTCCCTATCTGTCTTTGTTAAACACTGTAATAGATGTAGTACAAATGCCAAGGGTCAATCACTTCTACTCTCAATAAACTTCATTACTTCAACTAACAAAAAATACAATATATTATTACAGTAAAAGACACACTGCCATTACTCCCACTCTGCTCCTCCAGAAAGTGGCTGCAACAGTGGCAGAAGTATGTCTGAAGGGAGTGTTCTCCAGGAAGATTAGTGGCAATGTGTCTTCTACTGTAATATTTGTTAAAACTTTAAGCATCTACTGTACTTTTTCCATCACCCCTTGGACTAAACCTTTAGTTACATATTCACTTGTATTCTAAAAGGGGCTGAAACTTCAATCTTGGGATGGGCAGCTAATGCCAGAACATTCACCAAAGGGAGTTGTAGAATGGACAAGAGCTTGTCTTTAAGTAGTTTTACCTCTTCCTCCAAATCCACCACTTGTTGTTCCAGCTCACTCATCCGAGCTTTCTTTCTGTCTCTGGCAGTCTGAGCTGCTACTCTGTTTTTAAGTTTCCTGAGAAGAGAAGAGGCATAACCATACCGAATCATCTCAAATCTTATTTACACCTTCATTTAAAAAATTGGCCAGCTGGTGTTTTCATTTTTCATTTAAGCACAAGGCAACGCAATGGTAAAATACACTTCACATTCCTCCTCTCAATAAAACCAAAGAAAAATTAACAGCCTCTGTCAGTCTAGCTTGAAGACGTGCTTTATTCTCGCCTATGCGGCGTCACCCACTTCAGCCTCATCCTGGACACCAACCCTGTTTATCTTGCATCATACGGATCTTTCCTCCTCCCCCGCTGCTTCCTGATTCCAATTCCCTCAAACATGATCCAGCGTGGGCTGATTAAATCTAGCCGTGAGGGCTGCCATGACTTAAGCTCTCCCTTCCCAATCGCCAAGTCGGGTTGCAAGAGTTGACGAGTAGCCCCGGCCATCCGGGAGACATTCAAAACAAAAGGCACAGCGGTCAGAAAGACTTCATTTAAGTGCTAGGTACACTACACGCAGGTACATTTTCAGGACCCAGAGACAGAAGTTGGCTCGTAAGTGTTACAGGGATCTCAGCTCGCCACAGGTCCGTCATTTTGGCTTTGGGGCCCTCCAAAAAAGCAGGCAAACCAAGAGAAGGCTAATCTGCTTCATGCCACAGCCCGAATCGGAGGGGCTGCGGGACGGGCCCTCGGTGGCCACACGGCCGGGTGCCTGCACCTCAGGCGCTGTCTCTCCGATTAGACAGTACAGCGAGCCGGCCCTGGCGGCCCCGGCCTCCAGCCCGCGCGGCGGATCCCGCACTCCCGCCCTTCCGCCCCGCGCCTCGCCGGCCCGCACCCCGGCCGCGGGCCTTCGCCCACCTCCTCAGCGCCTTCTCCTCGGGGCTCAGGTGAGTCAGGCGCTGTCGCTTGCGCGCCTGCGGCGGGCCCCCATTCGCCGCGTCAGGACTGGCCCCTCTCTGGCCCGGCACCATAAGCGGCAGGGCCCCGCCAACAGGGGCTCCGGCGGCAGTGGCGGCGGGCTGGCCGGACAGAAGCAGTACTTTCGGGGCCCCAGAGGCCGGGCTCGCCGCCGCGGCCACCACCACCATGGCCAGAGACAGACTACACCCGCGCGCGCCCCGCCGCCACCGCCGCCCAGTGGCCAGCGGCGCCGCGTCTGGCCTTTCTAGGGTCGTGGCTGTTCGCGATTGGCCAACGCTGTGTGATTGGCCAGCCGAGCTCGGCTTCCATTGGTCCGGTCCTCCCATCGGAGGCGGGGTCAGAACGTCCAACGTGGCGGTGGAGAGGGGACCCGGAGGTGTTTTCCGCTGCCGCATTTTTCGACGCATTGACCCGCAAGAGTTTGAGCAAGAGTTGAAGGGCCCAGGGAGACCACCGGGCTCAGGTGGAGTCCCCAACAAATGGGTGTGCCTTCTCGTTTCCCCAAGAATACCAGGTTTTCATTTTCAATTCCAGAGGTTTTCCAGACAGGGATTATTTATTTATTTATTTATTTATTTATTTTTCTGCTGAAACTAACGGGATTGGTTGCCGCAGCCTGACACATTTCAACTGCCGCCTCTTAGGGACCCGGGGAAAGTGAAAAATCCAGAAGGAGCGCAGATTTAGCCAGGGCTTTTAAAGAAAAGAAAATAATAAAAGACTCAGAAAGAAACTGCGAAAGAAGAGGCTGTAGGAAATCAGATCGCACATTTCAAAATTAAGTTTAGAACATAAAAAACATCTCCGGACGGCAAAAATGTATAATGCGTATAGTTCAGCTTTCCTTCGCATTTCTAAACTGTCTACTGCGAACGTACACTGTTAATAATAGTTTTTGGTTTGAAGTTTTTTTGTGGTCTTGGAAATGGAACCCAGACCTTTTGAGCATGAGAGGCTAGCGAGCACTCTAGGGCAGAGCTGCAGCCTCAGCCCCGCACCATTTTTAAGAAGAAAATAAAAGTCCCGTGTAAAATACAGACCCCAGGGTTTGCCTTCTGACTCCTGTGGCACGGGCAGCTTTGAGGATCCTAGGAGCGGTTGTG